GACCAGTCTATCTGACATCAACAACCATGCTGTGTTTAAAGTCACTTAGATCATATCTTCCTAACTGTGATGCACAGTTTGAATTTATGTCTTTTTGACTGTGTCTACCTGCCTAAAAACTTATGTCTCCATATGATTGGATGATGAAGGAGCAGTTGAACAGCTACCCACTGACTTGGCCCGGGAGTATACATAGAGTACACTTTACATTACAAACATTTGGAGGTATGTCTCATTATCGGACCAGAACTGAATAAGCAAACACTTCCTTGAGTTCTATTTGTGAGCTGTAAGCAGCAGCTTTTGAAAGTACCTTGTGGTTAGTGCATTGTTGAGCTTGTGGGAACCCATTGTGAATGTGCTTTTTTTCAGTTCAAATTATTTCTATCAACATACAACAGAGACCACTCTAGCAGAAGCCTATCCACAAAGACTGCAGTCACTGCTGTTTATTGGAAGGAAATTAAATGTTTCCTGTTTCAGGCTTCACCTGTTAGAGGATTACCTGCTTTCTGGTTTACCTTGAAATGAGCTGGCGGTAATGCCTGTATATGTGCTGTTGTATGCATGCGATATCTACTTCGCCTACAGCTCTTCATAGAAATTTACAGGAACTGCACATTTGATTTGGCTTTGCAATACCTGTGTAATTACATGGGTGGTGCGTGCTGGGTCTTTTATCAGCATTTTTCACATTTTAAAGTCACACACTGATAATTTATTTAAAAGTGTAAATGAAAATGAAAGTATACCAGCTGAGATGGATTAACTGCCTTCAATGGGTTCATATCTAATGCCATGTTTTGGACTGCAGCTCAGTTGTGTTTCAGTTTTATATCTCAAACCTAGATAAATGCAACGAGAGATGATTTGTGTGGAGATATAACAGGGAGCACAGAGAAATGGTAATGATGAAAATGTAAATAGTGGCCCAGAGCCTGATGAAAGAAGGTGGTTTCCTAAAATCTGACAGAGTGCACTGAAGCCAGCTGATCAGCAGCAAGGGATGAGGAAGTGGGCGTGTTTCCTCGGTGAGGCAGCTTAGTTTGAAGCACACGCGCACACACCCTTCACTTACTACTGACGGAAGAAGTCCTAGAAGACGGTCATCTTTATCTATTTACAAAGCTACAACAATCCAGATCATGGTGGTACCGAACTTGTGTCAAGCAGCCTTCGCGATGCTTCGGCAGATCGAGCCGATCATCGTGCTCGAGCAGCTGGGCAGCACTCTCTTTGATACCGCACTGCAGATGGTGGTCTGGGACCGCTGTGCCAACGCTACCGACCCGGGCCACTCCAGTGAGGATGCCCAGCAGAAAGCCATGACCGACTTCTACATGATCAACAACCTCATTATCCAGCTGACTCCCATCTTTCCTGCGCTGTTCCTGGCAAGACTGAGCGACCGCGGCCGGAGGAAAGCCCCCATCGTGTCCCCCCTCACCGGCTACCTGTTGTCTAGGGTCATCCTGCTCCTGGTAGTCGTTCTAAAACTGCCGCTGCAGGTGATGTTCGCGGCGGGGACTGTCCTCGGGCTCTCCGGCGGGTTCACCGCATATTGGCCCGGTGTAATGACTCTAGCTTCACTCGGCTCCACGGCGGCCGACCGCTCCAAGGTGAGTTACAGGCGTGCTGCAGCTGCAAAGCCGTGGAAGGAGCGCCGAGAGGAGCCTCAAAATAACTTACTTTCAATCACAAAACTTTGTGTTTGACTATAAAACTGATGATAATGTGCAAAAACTAAGAATTACAAGGATATAAACGAATGAGTTGGGCCATTAAAGAAGACCGTTTCTTTCTTTCTCTCTCTCTTTTTTTTTCTTTTTTTTCTTTTCCAGATTTTTCAGTCTTTCGCTATTATTGTTTTCAGGGATTTCCCTTATTCAAAAATGGCCTTTAGGTTTTATTGCTCATGTCTGCGTCACCTCTTTTAACTAAAATCTATGCAATGCAGATGTTGTACCTAAAAGAAACACAATACAACTCAATTATATATTCAGTGAACTTAAAAAAAAAAGTAAGCTTAAACTTTTAACATAAAGCCATAAACACTTTCCCCCTCTTAGTCTGAGAGTACTGTGCTTCAGGAAGCATGTTATATGCACACAGGCGGTCAAAAAGAAAATTACATTTAATTACCAAATCACCCAGGGGTTAGCCCCCTCTGCTGTGGAGCCAGCTCCCAGTCTGGATTCCCTCTCTATTTTTTTAAGATTAAATTTAGGACTTTCCTTTTTGAGGGGCAGGGATAGCTCAGTAGGTAGAGTGGTGGCCCCACGATCGGAAGGTCGGGGGTTCGATTCCCCTGAACAGCTACCCTGAGGTACCCCTGAGCAAGGTACCGTCCCTACACACTGCTCCCCGGGTGCCCAATGGCTGCCCACTGCTTCACTGAGTGAATGGGTTAAATGCAGAGAGGAATTTCCCCTTGGGAATCAATAAAGTACACTTTCTTCTTTCTTGATAAAGCATGGTGATAGTTCTAGATCAGGTGACCCCGAATCCTTCCTTAGTTGTGCTGCAATAGGCCTAGAAAGCTGGGAGCTTAATACACCAATCTGCATGTAGTCATAAGTTATTATTACTACTCTTGCTCTCTTCCACAGTGTTTCTTTGTCCTGTTTGCCTCCCTTCACCCCCAAACCCGTTGTGATTCAGCTGAATTGAACTGAAAAAAAACCCCCAAACAAAAGCAAAACAGTTTACTTTAACTGATTTATATTAAAACAAATAACCCTGTGCCCCCTTGCAGGTGTTGATGAAGGTGGAGTTCATGTATGGGTTAGCAGGCGTGGTGGGCAGCCTCGCTTCTGGCCATCTGTTCCACCTGTACAGCTCCAGTTTGGGACATGGGACCATCCTGCTTATCATCAGCACACTGCTGCATCTGCTCTGCCTCTTACACTCCATATTCCTGCTGCAGGTTAGTGTGTGCACATGAGAGGGTTCACAGGGGGCGGGGGTCCAGTGTAGCCATGTGTTTTTTGTGTATTTCTAATTGTTTATTTTTATTTTTATTCTTGGAATCAAAAAAATATACTGTGAATCAGCTTTGCATGATTCACAGTATATTTTATAATGGCTCTTCATCCACTTTGCTTCTAGCTCCTCCCCCCTTAAAGGTAAGTTTTTTCTGATTAGCTGCCCCTTCAAAACAAAAGGGCTCTGAACACCAGGTAGAGATAACCACATTCAGAGGATCTGATCCTACTGACATCATACAGAGCCAAAAGTAGAAAAAAAACCTTCTTTCTTTTTGGTGACCTCACCATGACCTAATGACCTAAAAGTACATCTATGACATAAAATAAAGAACAGCAAACTAAATTGTCGATCATTAAACATGCTGCTGTAATAATAATGTGAATAATTACATTAATCTGTAATTATGTGTCTTATAACTAGAACCATCTTTATTCATGTTCTGCCTTCAGTTTTAGCCACACGTGCTCGCTCTACCACCTCGCCGAGCTCATATACCACGCATGTCCGTCTTTATTAAAGGTGAAAGGTGTAAGCGATGGCGAGCCGGAGGAGAACCGCCACCTACTGTTACGCGCCTCCACTAACTCTTCAGTTGTCGAGGCTCCTGTTGAGATAAACAGAGTGAATGTGGCTCTGTTGTTTGTGGCTGCCATCCTGTACGACTTTGCAGTGGGCGGAGCCATTGAAGTACTGGGCGCCTTTGTGCTGAGAGCACCACTCAGCTGGAACGCCACTCTAGTAAGTTTTTTTTACCCCATTTTTGTGATTTGATGCAAAAAAGATGGGATAAAAGTAACACTGCTAGTTTTAACTCTATTTTAAGCAGACGGGACAATTCTAAATATTAGTGTCTAAGCTTAGCCATCGGTTGGCTTGTGATTGGTATGTTGTTAGCTAATGAGCACACCCTTGTTCATCCTCCTTTCTGACTGTATGACTGTAGTCTTCTGAACAGACTGAGGGAACTGAGGCGTGTTTTCCCACAAATGTCTATACAGCCAGGAGTGTTTCTGCAACCAGAGGAGTCGCCCCCTGCTGGTCATTAAAAATAATGCAGATTTAAGGCACTTAAGCATTAATGCCATCTGTTCTAGTTGCATAGTCTGTTTATTATTGCCTCTCTATCGCTGAACATCTCTCCCTTCTTTTTTTTCTCATTTCTTTTCCTCTTTCTTCAGGTGGGGTACGGGAATGCAGCAGGCTGTGTGATCTTCCTCACCAGTTACATAGGTGTCATCGGGTTTCGACGCTGCTGCAGCGACACCTCGCTCATTCTGATCGGCATGGTGTCCTTCGCTGTCGGGATTTACTTCATGTCCTTTGTAACGACGACCCTCACTTTCTACCTCGGTAAGAACAAACATGTTACACAGATTTTATAGTAAATTTTTTGGTGGATTAGCAGCTAATAGAAACACTTCATCCAGAAGATTTGAGGCGGGTTTAGAGCTCATGCCACACGCACAGGCCACATCCTTCATTTTCTCCTATGACCTTTAAACAGAGTAAATAGGCCCCCAGTTTAGCGCCCCTGGTTGATCAGGCTCAATGCAAGCCTAACCTAGGACCCTTTGCTGTGTGTTTTCCCCCACTTTCCAGTATTCTTCTCAGTCATGTCAAATAAAGATCAAAAGCTGCCCTAAAATAATGTGTTTTTAAGTGAGAAAATAAAAAAAATTTGACGCTGAAAGCAACAAAGGCCCAGTTGTGTGACTGCTCCTAACCTGTTCTTCATGTGACACTTGGTATTGTCTAAAAAACAGATCAGGTTTAGTTCCCAGAAGAGCTGCGTGTTCAGATTCCAATCGTTGCTTTTATTTTTACTTTGCCAAGTGGTTCGCACAGCAAACAGCAAATGGGAAAAAAATGTGTGTTTATGCTTTGATGGATTAGAAAGTTTGACTCAGCAAGCAAAATAAGTTTGTGTGCTAAAATTCAAGCTGTTTATTTGAGTTTACGTCAGACCTAAAACACCACCATGAATCATAAAAAAGTAGGAACCAAAACAAGGAACTAGGAGTGATTATAAGCCATAAACACTTTTTCCCCCTTAGTCTAAGAGTGCTGTGCTGCAGGAAGCATGTTATATGCACACAGGCAGTCAACAAGAACATTACATTTAATTACCAAATCAGCCAGGAGTTAGTTTCAACCAATTAAGTTTGATAAGGTTTATTTAACCCTTTCATGCATGAATTATGACCTCAATCAGGATTTTTTTCTTAAGTATTTTTATTCATCTTTAGGCATGAAAAAAAGATTTTTGAACTTCATTTTTTTAAACATGTACTTTGCAAAGAGTTTTTTACATATCCACTTAGTCCACTGGCTGGCCAGTGGGTGGCAGGGTATGGAGTCACACATCAGTGTCCAATGTGGTGGTTTATGTGCAAATATGCTATCAACACTGACACAAATACAAGAAAACAGCCTTTGAATAGCTGTCCACTGTAGTGACCACTATAAGAGATCTGCATTCTCACTGAAGGCTAAGACATTCAATACTCAATATGTACACCCAGCAAACAGCTACTCAGCTGAAGCTCACGGATAAACATGTGGAAATGTAAAAAGGGACATTTCTCAGCAGTTGTGGTCTGGTCTATTTTCTGGCTATAAACAAATGAGATACTTTGTCTTAATTATTGTTTGGGCGGGATTGGCACCACTAGGATGTTTTTTATTTGCTATTTATCATACTTCACTTCTGAACTTGGACAAATACATATATATATATATATATATATATATATATATATATATATGTGTGTGTGTGTGTGTGTGTGTGTGTGTGTGTGTGTGTGTGTGTGTGTACAAAGACTAAAAATAGACTAAAAATCCTTAGTCTCAGTATTTCTTAGTCAGGTAAAAACCTGTGCTACAAACTACCTGATGAGGCATTGATGGACATGGTCATTGAAACTTGGGATGTTTACGAAACAGGGAGTTGACTGCTTTGTGTTTTTATTCTGATACATGTGCTGATTTTTCTAAATCTTACCTCTGACATATGCTTTGTATGTTCATATCTCAATAACTATATCTCAGTGACCAGACCACCAGCTGGCAGTTATTCAGCAGGGAGATATTTGGTGGGTCAATGCTGCCTGTGAAGGCCTGACCTGTTTCCCTCAAAGGATTTAACCTCTGAATTGGGACATTGTTTTAAAGCAAGCGCTGCCGGATTAAAAATTATACTTGTTTAAACACCAGGTGCGACCATTCTTACCCAGAATGGGCAGCAGTAGCTGCATAGCTGTGGTCGGGTTTGGCGGATTTGAAGAATTCATTATGGAACAAAATGTTAATCATGAACTTTTTCTGCAGCTCGTGCACTCACCCTGTTTGCTCTCATCCCGATGACCACAATCAGATCTCTGCTCTCACAGCAGGTCCCAGCTTCTTCATGTGGTGAGTACGCAGGAAAGATTTTTGAGCACTTAACAACACACTTTGTATTTCATCTTAAAAAAGTGAGAATATTGGAGGCTGTCATTTGAGCACGTGAATGAATGTATAATATTGGTGCCTGAACACAATGGATGAAAACCCAGTCTGGTCATTCATAATAAACTCGACACATATTTACTGACTGCAGCATAAAAATCAACGATGGCTTCAGAGTTCGAGGAGCAGAGCGGGTTGAGAGTAGGCTGGAGTGATCTGTGGTTGCATTAAAGCAACGACAACATGACTTTTCCTGCGAGTTGTGTTTGCTGTCTGAAGGTCATTGATACGTTAGAGGGGGAAAAAGACTCACCAGTCCTGTTTATTTTTAATGCTCGTGAGAAAATACTGTGTCAGCAAAGCATTGTCGTTATAGGCTGCTGTGCCACCAGTTTCATGACTCTTAAACAGGTTTGTCAACTCTGACGCATTAAAGTTCATGTCACATGGGTTACACTGCCCCATGAAAGAGCGAGGCCCAAACAACTTACTAATTAATGAAAAGACCATGTATGATTTAAGCTTGTTTAGTATTAGCTGTCACATTTTTACACTTTTCAGCATAAGCAAGAAGATTTTATAAGCCAGACGTTAGCAGGAGCTGTTTCTTGTTCCAGCTGTTTGGTTTTTTTACTGCTTTATAGGATTCAGATGTGCACGCAGGTGGCACAACGCTTAGGACTTCATTTATTATTCAGTCATTATGTAATCGCAGAATTTCCCGTATAGCTGTCAGACACGGTTTCTTTTCTTTCTTTTTTTAAAATTGAGCACATAGTCACATGATCCTCCACAAGGAAGCACTTGGTGAGAGTGGTAAGGAAGAACTGCCTTTTAACAGGAAGAGACTCGGGGAGGGGCAGCCATCTGCCATGACCGGTTGAGGGATGGGAGCATTATTCCTCAATTAGTGGAGAATAGAAGGATTGTTTTGTGAAGCCTCGCAGCAGTCTGAGCTTATAGCAGCATCACTAAAGCGGATCCAGCTCTAACTATAAGCTTTTTCAAAACAAAAACAAAAGAAGGTTTAAAGCCTAATTTTAAAACTATACTCCCCTGAAGCCAAACTGGGAGCTGTTTCCACAGGAGAGGGGCCTGATAGCTGAGGGCTCTGCCTCCCATTTTACTTTTAGTAAATCTTGGAACCACAAGTGCAGCTTGATTGCGAAGTGCTCTCCTTCAATAGTATGATACTGTGAGGTTTTATTATATTTTTTAAACATCTTAATAAAGGAAGACCTCAGGTGAAAGGGCCCGATTGGTGGAATGGCACTAGAAACGATTCATTGACTCTGTTTTACTCCCTGATGAAGACCCGTGTGCCGAAAGCAGTTGGAGGTTTTAGGTTAAACATAATCTTCCCTGTAAAACTGAAGACATTTTAATTTTATTTTGAAATGTGGTTGCCTTGGAGTCTTGTGATATTTAAGCCTTAATAAAGCTACCACCATTTTAAGTCTTGTGTTTCAGTGTGCGTGCACTGAGTTTGAGGGAGTTTTGGATGCATGTGAGAGGATCTGTGCATAAGCAAGTCCTCCATGTGATCCCTTTAAGGCTGCTTCACGATAAACAATGACCTGCATATTATAAGAGCCTGCTCTGCAACTAGCCAGAGAAGGCTTTCTCCCTCTCTGTCACACATGAACACACAGTTTCCAGGTTATTACAGGATCAGATCAATTTACTGCCAGGGCTTTTTCTCCCGTCATCTGCTTGAAACGTCAGAAATGCGCACACACACACACACACACACACACACACACACACACACACACAGCAGCAATATCTTGTATAGATTAAACAAACAGCAAGCTCTTCTCTGTTCATTCCCTTCGTCTTCCAACCCCCTCTCCTCAGGCATGACCCTCACCTTCCTGCAGCTCGCTCTGAAGTTTGCCAGCCTGGCGTACATTCCCACTTTCACCAAGATCTATCAGGGAACCCTGGACTGGTTCCCAGGCTTTGTGTTCACACTAGCCAGTATTTTCACAGTACTGGGAATGACACCCATCAGGTATGTGTGCCCATCACTTCAGACTAACGTGCCCGCCTTTCAGAGTCTCATTGTCTCATCTCCTCTGTCTACTCCCTCCAGTATCATCGGCTGCAGATCACCTCAGAGGTGGCAGTATGAGAAGATTTAGAGCGGCCGAACCAGTAACATCATCACCAGCACCAGCAGCACCAGCAGCAGCAGCGAGTGAGCATTGGTGCAAGGCAGAAGGGAACTGAGACTTGAAACTACTTCCTGTGGTGTTAAAGCAGAAAAAGCATTTCCTATCCTACAGGGTTCCTCAGTTATAAAAGAGGGCAAACAGTATTTTTACATCTATTTGAGATGTTACATCTCCAATAGACAACTGCCTCACAAAGACAGAAGCACAGAAGCTGCCACGGTGATTTCCACATAGTTTAGGATTTGTCACGGACTGCGTTGGCTGCTTCTGTCAGCAAACTGTTACTCACACGCAGTTTTCAGCCACGGGTCATGTTTTAAACAACTTCGTTAGGAGTTTTGTATCCTGGAGTCCTCTCAGGCTGTTACAGGAACAGAAAGTTTGGCACAAGTTGATCTCTGTTATAAATTCACCTGTTTTTACTTAACTGCCTACTGTTTTTGTAGATTCGTAAACTAGAAGCTAGAAGTGGAAGTGTGGTTATAAAATCAGGGTTTTTTTGGCTGTTACTGTTTCTGTTTCCATATTTAAAGACTTTGCAGTTGTTACTGTACTTGCACAGTAATGTGCACAAACCTAATGAGAGTGCTGCTCTGATGCCAGCTTAGCTGCAGTTTGGGTTTAGGTCAAAGCTACATGAAGTGAATCCAGTTTGAGTCACAGACGGTGTAAACAGTGGACATGGCCACTGTGATGTCTCAAGGTGAAGCCTCGAGGCTCGAGAAACCGCACAGTCATTGGCTAACAGCTTCTGACTGAGTCTAATAAAGAGGATCATTTATGAAATCTGAAACTAGCGACATTTTCTTACATCATCTGTACAAGCCCTAACCCTGCAATGCCATCTATATTTTTTCTCAGACATGAGTTTAATGGCCAGCCCCCTGCTGGCCACGAAACGACAATACAGATTTCATCAGACGCAGAAGGCACGCCCATCTTTTTGTACTGTTTACATCTGTGTCCTGTTCACATCACCTTAACTCCTCTAGAGGTCACTGTTTCTGAGGTGTGACTTAAACCTGCTGCAAGCCTACGCTGCGTTTTACGGAAGCTCGTCTCTGTCAAAAACAGTTTCTGGCATCCACAAATGGAAAATTAGAGTTACTATCTCCAAAATTTTGGTCTACAAAATAAAAAATACAGTTATTACGTCAAAATTTTGAGATAACGAAACATCGAATGAGCTCTGCCAATCAGGGTTTTTTTTTTTCAGTGGCGGAAACGAGCTTTCAGCCCCAATACCAAACATACCAAACTTTTTCTCTCTTTTTTTTTTAAACAGTGTTGTATTAAGCTCCCTGATATAATAGCTAAGCATTACACCAGTGGCAACGGACTAATTGCATGCACTGCTTTTTAAATCAGCAGGGCTTGCATAGACGCCACTACAGATTGGGCAACAAGCCTAAAAAAGTTGAAAGAAAAACATACTCCATAAGTCTGATGCGCACTGTTGCACATTATAAGACTGAAACACGACGTTCAATCTGTAAACCATAGCAAAACATTGCCCAGTTTTCTTTAGATTGAACCGATTTTTGCTGCTCAGAGGATATTATTGATTTTTTAAATATCAAATATTTTACCACCTGTCTGCGCCCAGTGGCAAACCAATGTAAATTATTAACAAAACAGTCACCTCTTAATTTCTTTGCTGCCAGAAACACAAAGAAATAAGTTTCACAGGAAGCTAATGCTGCGTTGCGTATTTGACAGATTAATCCTACTGATGCAGTTCGTAAGGAAACAAAAGGAAAAATGTGTTGTGCCTGAAACATTCAGCGCAACATTAGCAAACGATCACAAGTGCGTGGACAAGTGTTCTGTGGATGGGAGAAAACTGCTGGATTCTCCCCCCGCTCATGACTCCGTGTATCATCACCATCGGTCAGCTGCTCACAACACACGTTTTAGGAAAAGCTTTAGGTTTGGTGTCATTTGACGTTCTCGCACACCGACTACTGGCAGTCTAAGGGATCTTTTTTGACATAACTTTTTGTTTGCTTTTATATATTTTTATTATCCTTACATGTTGACCCACTAATTCATTTGATTGTGCTTTATGTTCATCTGTCTAAGTCTGAAGGTACTGGTACAGTTCTGTGCATGAATTTATGTAGAAATTTAAAGCCATATTTTAGTTATTAGTAGACATGTTTGTATAGCTGAAGTAGTGCTTATAGTACTGATTGAAGGAAACCAAATGAAGGGTTTTTTGTAATAGTTATTTTGCATTTGCACATTATTGCACTTTTATTTGTTGACGGTGCATAAAAGGGGGCTTCTGCTGTAGTTTAAATGAAATTATTAAGCATAAAGAGCAACTTATGTTGGTGTTCGAGCTGCAATGACACTAAATAAAATCTTTTTGTTAAATAAACATTATTAAGGCTTGTTGTGATGTTTTTAAATTGTCTGTATGAAAGAATATTTAAATATTCAATCCTTTCTAAACCTCTTCATCTAGAGCATAACTGCAGTATATTTAGCTTTTTGATGACTATATATATATATATACACACACATACACATACACATACATATATGAAAAGTTACAGAAGCAGAAAAATATCAAATGCATTCATTCTTTTTATTATTGGTCCAATATATCAGAAAAACCCCCAATTTGTGTTAAAGATAAATTGCATCAAAAACAACATCAATGTACAAGCTTATTTATAATTACAACAAAATTGTTATTAACATCCAAATGTACAATAAGGGCTCTGAACGTAAACAGCACACAATGAGGAGGAACAGAGGTTTAAAAAACAAAACAAAACCATAACAGACAAAAAAGTGATCTGAGGTTTAGACTGACTTGGTCACTTTTATTAATCATGTGCTGAAAATCAGATCTTGTCTTCATGTGCGAATCCACGCTGCCGGGACGATGAGAGGAAGAGAGAGGCATTGGGGGTGGAGGATGTTTGGCCTGGAAATATTTGAATGAAAACTTTCCCCTCCAACAGGCTCATAACAGACGTCCCTGTTTGAGGGATTTAACCTGAATCAGCTTCATATACAGCATTTTTTGAATGTGTCTCAACTGACTTTAGACCAGTTTTCAATTTTTCAGCAAATTAAATTAGAAAGAAATTTTTTTTCCCCAGCAGAAGTTTCTGCCAGGGCCTTGAGCTACATATTTAGTGCAAAACAATTCAGCAGGCACATGTAGTATAATAATAATAATAATAATAATAATAATAATAGGGCACTGGCTAATAGAGAACATTGATCACACTAAACAGAGCTATTGTTGGAGGTTTAATGTGCATCAAAAGCAAATCTGTTTTGGTTGTGGCAGGTTTACACTGTTCGTGCACATCTCTAATCCCTTTTAAATCTTTATGCACTCATATAAATCCCAAAGATGCCCTCCAGTTTCATAAATGTGTGTCTCACATGTCAATTACTTCATTTACACCAAAGCGATGCTCTACAGATGCACCAGTGCCTAATGATAAGAAATCAAGTAACAACAACAACTCACAATCCTCAGCAGATACCAATGTTATACCTTAAACAGAACAGGAAATGTGTTTTTCAAGCTTTATTATATTTATTTGTTTTAGTTTTTTTGTAATATTTATGCTACATTTCATCCAGTTACTTCTCAAACTGCACTCAGGGTTCAGTGAGTTTTAGCTACAAGCAAACATCAAGAAGAAACACGTAAGTCGCCTCATTTAATGTTTTTAAACCGATCTGGGGTTTTCTTTAGTATAAACAGATGTATGATCCCTTTAATTGATAAAAGCTGGCACCTGATGTGTTTGTATGAGTACAATCAATGTGGGAGCAGCTACAAATACTGCTCAATAGCACTACTAGTGGACTACTACTAGAACTTAACAGTCAAACTCTAAGGTTTGAGCTATTCAAATGCAATGGGGTTATTATAGGACAACAGTATGGGCAAAAATGATCGTAGTAAATCTTTGGATTTTCCCTTTTAGCCCTGGTGCATCCATAGGCCGCTCCACTGCAGCTGCCTCCGTCCATAAAGATACTTTTTCTTCACATTGTTGACTTCTACTAGTTACAGAGTAGCTGCTTCACTCTTTTAAAGCTTAAGGGTAAAATGTGAAAGGCAAAAGTAGATAAGGACAATAAAAAAAGAGAGAGAACAAAATAAACCCAGTTCACTGGCAGCTGCAGACGCCTCGTCAGGATGCTGCAGCGCTTGCATTTGGTTGCATGGAGGCGCAGGCTCAGTAATGTGACGGCTACTTTACATGACTGTAACAAAATCTGAAAGCAGCTCTAGTCTGGAAATCCTGTCAGTGAAGGAGAAACTCTTAACCAACAGGAGGACAAAACGTGGTGACTGTGGAAATGTCACATGACTGAGTCTGCCTGGGCGTCATTGGTCAGGTTTTAGCTACTTTCAGAGTAAAAGGAAAGCAGAATAAGCTTTCCTGTGTCGGCAGTAAATCAGAAAGTTTTAAATATTATGATTGCAGTGAGGGGATTTTTCCCATTCAGGACTTGGAAAATAATAAAGGAGTGTGATGCAAAAAGTGTGCCTCACATACGTGCTGCAGGGCTCCACCTCATTATCCCATGAGTCACAGCTGAGCAGATTGCTAACAGAGCTGCACCGCAGAGGGTTTCCACGCTGTTCAGTACCTCAGTCTCAGCCCGTTTGGTTAAAACAGGCAATTTAAGAATTTAAAGTAATGTGTTGCATCGCTCAGGGTGTCGTTTTTTGTTTGTTTGTTTTTTGCAATGTCTCACTCTTAACATGACACAGCAGGGATTTTTCCACTAGCCCCAGAGGTTTTAGTTCCTCTGTAAGCCAGCAGCATGAACACACTGACACCTTATATTCAGGATTCATGGCTTTCTTAGGGATGGTTATGCATGTTTCAGTGCAGGGTTTTATCACTTAGGCAAGGAAATAATAATAAGTTAATTAAAAAAAAAAAAATCCAATGGTAAAACATTTACGTCTTCTTACCACTGGAGTCTTCACCTTATTATTATGAACCAAATGCACCGTTAACGTCACCAACTGAGGTAAGTCTTTGCTTAAAGAAGAAGAGGAAGGGTATAAATGGGAATGGTGAGAGAAAGACGATATCAAGAGAAGCCAAAAGAGGTAGCTCACTTCTTCACTTCCCCCTCATTTCAAAAGCATGGGAGAAAACTATTAACAGCTTGGCCACAAGGTGGAGCCGCTGTTCTCTTAAAAACTCCACCTTCCACAAAGTGACCTCTCAGACAAACCTCAGCGTTCAGCTCAGACGCCCATAGAAGCTTGTTGCCATCACTTAAAAAAAAAAAAACAACCCACAAACAAACAGGTAGCAAAAAGTTTTTTGTAACTTAAAAATCTGAGTTCTAATCTCAAAATTTCAAGTTATTTTCTCATAAGTTTGAGTTAGTGAGACCAGAGATTATAGCCCAAAATGGTGATTTATAGATGGCAAGACCTTGTTTTCTTCTGTAGGCACCTTCATCGTCATCGCTGAACACTGTTTATCTCCATTTATCTGTGAGGGTTTGTAGCAAAAAACAAAAACCAAGACATACTAAAGTGTCCCTTAGGGAAAACACGCAGAGGTCCCACTTGAACATTTTTCACATACCACCTGATTTTTGTGGGTTATTTTTAATAACAGGTGCAGGAACGACAGGGATGAAGTTTGTGACCTTTGGTAAAAGTATAGAGTAAAAAAACAACAAAAAACAACAGGTGTGGTGCTTTGAGTACAAGAGAGTAAATTCCTGTTCATTCACTGTCGCATTTCCCAGAGGCTTTTACAACCTGGCAGGACAAAGAAAAAAAAAAAAAACATCTTGAGGATGTTTTGAACACATCTGAAACAAACCTAAGATACTTCATAGACCCACACAGCAGCAACACCTTCATGAACAGTTTTCTCAGTATGAAAATGGGAGAGCGTTGAGTAAGAGACTGCGGTTAAATAAATACAAAGAAGCGTTGGCAACCGACTGTTAACTCGAAATATAAAGTAGAAAAAGTCAAAAAAAGAAACAAAAACTATACATAGTAGGTTTCTCCTCTTTTCCTAGCTGTCCTCGAATGCACCGTATGTTTCCTCCTTAGCGGACCAAAATCTTAGAGGGAGACGACTCCCCTCATACAATCATCTCACAGGAGAACAGGGGCCCCGAGTCCAGCAGGTAAACCTGCTGCCCTGTTGGTCTTTTTCCGTGGCATGAACGAGAGAGTGTGTGTGGAGAGACAGAGAGAAAGAGATAGAGAGATGTTTCAGTTCGTCTCACTCGTTTTGTCTTCAGTCTGTTTGTCCTGGAGGAGAGTTATGAGCGACTCCCACGCTGCCTGGCACTGCGCAGGGCGGAGAAGGACGAAGAGTCGGCCGACGTGGGGAAAGAATGAGGTAAAAGGGAAAGATTGGAATTATTTAGGTGAGTTCTGAGGCTGCTCTGAAAGATTTATGTTTGTAAAAGTCATGTTTTCACAGTGAGAGCTCAGAAATCTGTACAGTGATTCCACACATCTGCCACAGAGGCTGCTGAGGATCTACCAGATAATAAAAAAAAGTCAGGTGGCTCTAGCACTCACACATGAGTACAAAACAGTCTCTACGGGCTAATGAGCGAATGCGCTTGAACAGTTTCAGAGAAATTTCAGGGAGGATAAGGCTAACAAACTAAATACTGTTTGTTATTTTTATGCATTGAAAAATAAACATACACAAGATC